CAAGGTATGCATTCACCTTGAGAACTTCATCTTTGTTTCCAAATGCAATGACTTCGGTTTTTTCCTTGTTTAACTGAAGAAAGTTCTGGCACATCCAACTGTTAATTTCATCAATGCATTGGCAGAGGGAGTCAATGGGGCTGTAGTCATTTGGAGATAAGGCTAGGTAAATCTGGGTATCATCAGCAATTTGGTAAAATGTAACTTTCCCCAACACTGCGCATAATGCACTCATCTCGCTGTGTACAGTGGCACACGAGAGTGACATATTTCTCAGGACGCCACAGAAACATGAGCATCTTTGTACGAAACGCAGAGCCATTGAGTTAGAGACAAAAATGCACACGGATCAAAGAGCCTCGTGACTGTGGGATTATCAGATGTGTCCTTTGTGACTGCGGCTGCTGAGAAACGCCGGTTCATGTGAGTGGAGCGGGAGCTGAGCGAGGGACGCTGGGAATCAAAGTCTGTGGAAGAAACGCTGCAGGATGATGAAGCGGCTGCGATGACAGTTCGCCGGTGACAGCCTTCATGGTGTTTCATCAGCGCTGGACCTGAGCCACCTCAGTAAGCCTGCGGATCGCACTGGGTGATTTTCCAGCTCGCTGTCCTCGGATAAACCCAGCGCCGCTGCCAAGAGCCAGCTCGGTTTATAGAAGGTAACTGGGTTACAAGCCAAGCAGCGCAGCGGAGAGACAGAGGCCCAGAGAATAAATCAATCATTCCTGAAGAAACACGCATAAGCACATGCTAAACTGAGAGATCAGACTGGAAACTGCAGATCTGGACAGGGTTTGTGGATGCCAATCTCAGCCGTGAATCCTCACAGTCACCAAACACACACTTAATATCCAGCAATATCGTTGACTTGATTGGACAGATACTGTTTAAACTGAACTGAGCTGGACGATGAATATCACTGAACTCAATGATGAACTGCCTTTAACTGAAAATTGAGTGGACGATGAATATCACTGAATTCAATGATGAACTGCCTTTAACTGAAAATTGAGTGTTTACTATTGTCCTTTTGCATTATTACACACTATTTAATACTGTGAAGCTGCTTTGACACGATCTGTATTGTTAAAAGCACTATATAAATAAAGGCGACTTGACTCAGACGAGAACAAAGATGCTTCTGAAGGACTGCAGTCAAGATGAAGATCATGTAGTTCTGATTTTGCACTGATGCTGCATTCCTCTTTTTGGAACAGCAAACCTTAAATTCAGTGAAGAAACAAAGATAAGCAACACGCATTCAGCAGAATGAACTCATGACTGTCAGAAGAACAGAGAGAAGAAGAAGCTGCTTCCATGGAAACACCATAATCCAGTTTACAGAGAAAACGCTGCTTTCATCTGAAGCCCGAGACCATGCATCTAGACATACAGTCTTGTTCCTCTGACATGATTATGTGTTCTCTGTATCCTGAAGAATGCCACGATGAAAGCAGATTTTTTTTTGTTGCTTTCACAAATAATAGCCTAAGAAATCTCAGATATCTCAACAGCCTGATTATGTTTGTATGCATGGACTTTTAAGCTGTTTGGGAAGAATCCATTAAGCACTATAAACTGAAAGAAGGGTTAGTTTCTTCTGAAAGAGTCTTCACAGTGAGTTTCATCATAATGTGAACGCTCTGTTTGTCTCTTTTCCGTCTTGGAGACGTGTGTGAGGTTGCAGCAGCAGATACCGGACAGGTTTTACACTCTTTACATGACTGAATGACAAAAGCTGCTGCTCTTGAGTCTCATCATGATGGGCAGTTCAGACGCTCACCTCGGTTTTCATACATATGTGAGCCTGCAGCACAAAAGCAGTCATAAGCAGCACAGGTATATTTGTAGCAATAGCCAACAATACATTGTATGGGTCAAAATTATTGATTTCTCTTTTATGCCAAAAATCATTAGGATATTAAGTAAAGATCATGTTCCTTGAAGATATTTTGTAAATCTCCTACCGTAAATATATCAAAACTTAATGTTTGATTAGTAATATGCATTGCTAAGAACTTCATTCGAACAACTTTAAAGATGATTTTCTCAATATTTAGATTTTTTTTGCACCCTCAGATTCCAGATTTTCAAATATTGTCCTATCCTAACAAACCATACATCAATGGAAAGATTATTTATTCAGCTTCAGATGATGCATACATCTCAATTTCACAAAATGGACCCTTATGATGGTTTTGTGCTCCAGGGTCACATATAGAGTTTACGTGCATATTTGCAAATATGAATATAATGCATGAAGTATGGTAGTGGCTTCGCTGGCATCCGTCACAGACGTGCTCCTGTGGATATTCACATGTAACATACACCGCGCATATGAACACTCACTCTGTCTGTACTAATAGTGTGTCCTATTTTCGTCTGGCTAAATGTTGTTTGAACATCATTGAATGCATTCTGAACTTATGAACTTAACCTGCGACATATTTAAAGCACAATATGATACGGTGTGCAGAATCATACATGTTTAGGTTGAAAGGGGATCCAGTAATGCACGGCTGTTTTTAGATTAACGCCCTGATCATGTGTGTGAAACAATAACTACCGTCAACACTATAGCTTTCTATTCAAATAAGAAATGCTAAAAACAAAAACACTGATTTATTTAAGGAATGAAGCAAGTCTTTATGAGAGAGTCATCCGAATCATTCATTCAATCAGTTTCTTCAAAAGCAATGATTTATTGAATCATGAATTCACAAGCTCTCGATTCCATTTGATTCAATTCCATGCTGTCCTTTGAAGACCGCACACAGAGTTTAGACGGATGGATAACACTTATGTATGACTGGACTTTTTTATTTGGCCAATCATGTTTTGATTCGTATATTGTTGATGAATGAATGTTTCAGGACACAGTAAATGACAGCACCTCATGCAGCGACTCCAAACTAAACTGCTTGAAAGTGTATAGCACACTTGATGCGTGTGAACAGTAGTGTCAGCCTCCTGGACATTAAAAAGCATTTGCTGTGCTACAGCTGTAAAATTGTCCCAAATTACAAACTATACACTATGCACTTATTCTATATGTGACCCTGGAGCACAAAACCAGTCTTGAGCAATAGCCAACAATACATTGTATGGGTCACAATTATACATTTCTCTTTTATGCCAAAAATCATTAGGATATTAAGTAAAGATCATGTTCCATGAAGATATACAAGTAAATGTCCTACCGTTAATATATCTAAACTTAATGTTTGATTAGTAATATGCATTGCTAAGAACTTCATTTGAACAACTTTAAAGATTATTTTCTCAATATTTAGATTTTTTTGCACCCTCAGATTCCAGATTTTCAAATATTGTCCGATCCTAACAAACCATACATCAATGGAAAGATTATTTATTCAGCTTTCAGATGATGCATAATCTATCTTTAAAAAATGTACCCTTACGACTGGTTTAGTGCTCCAGGATGACATATTTCATTAGGATTCAGTGGTGTTAACAAGCCACCAATAGCAGGTGCCCAATTACCAGTGGAAACCCACAGGGACCATTAGAGTTTCCATTATAACCAGTAAAACCATTACAAATTCTGTGATGGTTTCTATTGTGTGTTTGTTTTTTTCAGCAGGGCACAATGCATCGATGAGCTGAAATAGTGCATGATGGAAACTCTTGTGATGCGCGGCAGTGAATGCGCAGTGGTTTGCGCGCTTGATCCGGCTGAAGATCAGAGGGTTAGCGCCGTCTGCTGTCTTCAGATGATCGACTGACGCCCACCGGCTCAATCACTTATCATTCAGATCATAGGAACTTTCGCAGCGCGTCAGGGAGTCATTCGCGAGCGTCCGTGCGCTGCTACAGCTCTTGAAGTGGACTGACGAGAACTTCTGAAGCCATCAAGAGTTTTAACGTTAACAGGAGACGCTTTGTGTTTGCGCGGCGCTCCGTTCCTCCACGGAATGGCATTTCGGAATATGAGTGATGCGCCTCGGTGTGTTCCAGCGTGTGTTTGGAGGCGGAGTGACTGACTGACATTCATTCATCACATAAAAGGGAAGTTGAGCCGCTGAACACCAGAAACTCTTCTGGGATCGATCATGAATGCGGCAAAGGCGCTGAAAAACGCGCTGGCGTGTTTGGTGATCCTGCCGCGTTTTCTCGTCGCCGCCTTCATGCTGTGGTGTCTTGATTTTCTGTGCGTGAGGAAAAGAGTTTTGTTCCACCTGAGGAGTGAGGAGGAGGACGAGGACCCTCCGCTGTGCATCTCCGACAGCAGCCGCATGTTCAGCTGGGAGTCGCTCAAAGCGGTTTTCCACGGACACAAGCTGGACTGGATGAAGTCCGCGCGTCTCGGCCGCGACGCGCCCAACAGCGAAGTGGTTCCGCTCGCGGACCCGACGCGCAGACGCGTGCTGGACTTCGCTTGCGCTCAGAGGCCCCTTCTGCTGAATTTCGGAAGCTGTAGCTGACCGCCGTTCATGACGCGTCTCAAGGCGTTCCAGCGGCTCGTGCTCCAGTACGCGGACGTCGCCGACGCGCTGGTGATTTACATCGAGGAGGCGCACCCGTCCGACGGCTGGGTCAGTTCTGACGCTCCGTATCAGATCCTCAAGCACCGGAGTCTGGAGGAGAGGCTGCGCGCGGCGCGGCTGATGGCGCGCGAGGCGCCGGGCGTCGCGATAGTCGCAGACAGCATGGAGAACTCGTGCAACAGCGCGTACGGAGCGTATTTCGACAGACTCTACATCGTCCAGGACGGGAAGGTGGTGTATCAGGGCGGCAGAGGACCGGAGGGCTACCGGATCTCCGAGCTCCGGAACTGGCTGGATCAGTACCGCACGCGGCTGCGCGACGCCGTGATTCGCGTGTAAAGTGACGCGATTTTCACAAGCTATGTTTCCATCCACCTGTTTGTATAATATCTCACCGGATGGAAACGCCAAGATGCTCATAGATTCTAAAAATGCGCATAAAAAACGTATGCGCACGGTTGAGTAGGATCAACTTTACGCGTATAAACTACGATGGAAACACATTTACCGAATCATTTCCACTAAAAAGTCATGTGACGGGATAACTCGACTAGCAGCGGACCGATCTCGATCACAGCATCTGAAATGTTGTTCTGAAAAGCCTGAGTAAAGTCTGTCGTCAAAGTATTTCTGTATAATTGTCTTAAACGACTGCGTTCCCAAACAGCAGCATCCGCCTCTGAAAGCAGTGACAGCATTTATTGTGTTTCGTCTGCTCGCTCTGAGGCGCAAATTATTATATTCAGTGGCTGCTCCTACTTTTCTTAGTGATATTTAGTGCCAGTTTATCAGGAAGTGACGGTTTTGTTCTCTTTGACTCGTTGGATGGAAACGGTGCTTTATGCGATGTTTTTGCGCAGAAGTCTTTGGATGGAAGCGTCGCTTGGTGATCAGGTGCGCGTCACAGCGCGTTAGACTCTGGTGATGATAAGGCTGGGTTTCCTCCGATGAACGAAGCCTGCGCATAATGTGAAGATTTAAATGTGAAATGCATTTCTGTTGCTCTGCCTGCATCTAAATTGTGATTTTGATTGAAATCGGTCACATCCAAGCGTCCAAATGCATGTGCAGAGTCCAGCTAAAGTTCACTCTCTTTAACTCAATGCTGCTGAACTGAATATACGAATCAAACTATCTGCTCAAATAACCTCGAGTGAAATAAGAAGAGAGCGCGGTTTATCTGTCTGCGCTTTCCTTCAGACGCTGTTTTTTGTTTTAATTGCTATATTCTGAAATGTCATTTTTTTTATATTAAATAGTGTATAGCAGTGTTATTATCTAACATGATGTAAAATGAACATTACAAATCTACACGAAAAGAACGCATTTGATGATTCTTCTTGTGCGTAGATGCTCTTTCCCTCCTGTATTTTTTGTGAAGGTCGATTTTTAAAAGGTTCACGACCAGAAGGTCGACACTGATGTCTAAAATACAGGACGAATGCATGTAAATTATTCCTTTTTATCAAAGACGTTTTGTAATAAAACATTTCATCCGGAGGCGTGTTCGTGTATCTGAGCTACACTGATTCAGTCATCTTCAGTTCTGCATGATCATATCCACACTTCATCCATTCTGTCAGGTTTCTGTTCTTCAGTCCTTTGATTTACTTTGAGTTGCACTATTATAAATGAAGGCTTTTGTCTGCAGTGATGCTGTAGAAGAACCTTCCAGTGACCAGCTCTTAAAAGAACCATTTCTTTTTTAAAGAACTATTTTAGTCATCTAAAGAGCCACTGATGCCAGTAAAGAAGCTTGATTCTTAAGTTAGTTCATCTAGACTAAGTTCCTAATGAAACACGAACACGCTGGCTGTAATGGCAGCAGTGGCATCGACTCACACTGTGACATTCACATCTGCGTTCACCTGAGCAGAGAACAGTATATAAAGCAGCTTTATAAAGTCTTTTGTATCGTTCTTTCTGTGTTACAAACATTCAAACAATCACAGAAGTACTGGGATAAAAGTGTACAGTTCAGATATAAGCTCTGCCAGTAAATCAGCTTCAAATAAAGATTGTATCATTCACAGCGAAACACCAGCAGGTGCAACAAGTGACTTAAAACAGAGATTCGTTCAAAAAACGTTTGATTTATTCAGGAAGGAAACATGTGAAGTCTTTACGAGCGAGCGAGTCATTGAATCATTTCTTCAGCTTATTTATTTTCTGTTGAATATTGAATCTTTTATAAATAGACTGCAGCAATTACTAGAACTTCTACAGTAGTAGACGACCCGTTATTGTGTCTAGTTCAGAATCCTGGAGGGAGATTAGTGATGTCTGTATTCACTCTCAGTCCATTCTCAGTCTATCCAGAATCCTGCCGCTCTAGATGGTCATTTATCATCAAATACATGGCTTTAGTTTCAGATAAAGCATCAAAGATGTGGTCAGTGAGGTTCAGGATCCAGAACGGACACATTTATCTTGTGCCATGTATTCTGCAAGTTGCTTAATGGTGTACTTTTGGTGTTCTGAACTGGCTTTACTTGAACTCTGCTAAACTAGAGCAACTCATTTTCTACTTAATGCACTTTAATTGTGCAGAAGTCCAACTAAATAAATACTGAAGCATTGCTTGTGCTACAGTTTAAATATCTTGCATTTAAAGACTGATATTATACAGAGATCATACAATCCTTATTAATAGTGTAATTCAAAAACGTACTTTTAGGCATAATATTAAGAAATATGCATTGTGCAATAAAGTAATACTCCAAATTAAGTTAAATACAAATTTTATATCAGTAAGGGATATGTCAATGAATATGTTAATGGATTTACGTAGTATTAAATAAATATATTTTAATAAAATTATGGCAGAGTTTTTGTTTTGTTTTGTTTTTTTACGGATCTCTCCCAAGCCTGAGTTCAGTCTGTGTGCGCAACATTTATTAAAGCCGGTTTGTGTTTGTGTGTCTCTACAGGGAAGATATTATCAGTGTTGTCAGATCTTAATATCAGTGCACACAAAACAGATTAAACAAGCCTAAATTGCAATCTGCTGCAAAACAATGTTTTCAACCAAAAAAAGCAGCGAGCAACCAGAAAACAAGACCATATTCTGAAACAGCATCTGAGACCGTCCGTATCTGTGTCCCTGCAGCACAGAAGCAGTGTTAAGTCGCTGGGGGATATTTGTAGCAATAGCCAACAATACATTGTATGGGTCACAATTATACATTTCTCTTTTATGCCAAAAATCATTAGGATATTAAGTAAAGATCATGTTCCATGAAGATATTTTGTACATTCTGTGCCTAAAACTTAATGTTTGATTAGTAATATGCATTGCTAAGAACTTCATTTGAACAACTTTAAAGATGATTTTCTCAATATTTAGATTTTTTTGCACCCTCAGATTCCAGATTTTCAAATATTGTCCGATCCTAACAAACCATACATCAATGGAAAGATGATTTATTCAGCTTCAGGTGATGCATAACTCTCAATTTCACAAAATTGACCCTTATGACTGGTTTTGTGATCCAGGGTCACATTTATGTGATAATGTGAAAAAAGTCATAAAGGGACAGATTACCCAAAAATGATAATTCTGTCATCACTTACACATGTTGTTTCAAACCTGCATGAATTTCTTTCTTCTGCTGAACACAAAATATATTTTGAAGAATGTGAGACACCAAACTGTTGCTGGTAGCCATTGACTTGCACTGTATTTTTCTTTTACATAATATGGAAGTCAGTGAGGTCAAGCAACTGTTTGATTACCAACATTTTTCCAAGTGTCTTATTTTGTGTAAATGATGACAATTTGTTATTTTTGGGTGAACTGTCCCACTAATAACTGGACGTGTCACAGCAGGGCTGGAAACCGTCCGTATCTGTGTACCTGCAGCACAGAAGCAGTGTTGAGTCGCTGGGGGATATTTGTAGCAATAGCCAACAATACATTGTATGGGTCACAATTATACATTTCTCTTTTATGCCAAAAATCATTAGGATATTAAGTAAAGATCATGTTCCATGAAGATATTTTGTACATTCTGTGCCTAAAACTTAATGTTTGATTAGTAATATGCATTGCTAAGAACTTCATTTGAACAACTTTAAAGATGATTTTCTCAATATTTAGATTTTTTTGCACCCTCAGATTCCAGATTTTCAAATATTGTCCGATCCTAACAAACCATACATCAATGGAAAGATGATTTATTCAGCTTCAGGTGATGCATAAATCTCAATTTCACAAAATTGACCCTTATGATTGGTTTTGTGATCCAGGGTCACATTTATGTGATAATGTGAAAAAAGTCATAAAGGGACAGATTACCCAAAAAATGATCATTCTGTCATCACTTACTCATGTTGTTTCAAACCTGCATGAATTTCTTTCTTCTGCTGAACACAAAATATATTTTGAAGAATGTGAGACACCAAACTGTTGCTGGTAGCCATTGACTTGCACTGTATTTTTCTTTTACATAATATGGAAGTCAGTGAGGTCAAGCAACTGTTTGATTACCAACATTTTTCCAAGTGTCTTATTTTGTGTAAATGATGACAATTTGTTATTTTTGGGTGAACTGTCCCACTAATAACTGGACGTGTCACAGCAGGGCTGGAAAACGCAGATGTTCATGAAGGTCTTTCGTGAGAAACTCGGCACTAGCTGATCACATTCTGTGAAGAACACAATCAGCAGTATTGTTTTAGTTCATGGCAAACAAACAGAGCTGATTTGATTGCTGATTCTCACGGAAGCCGTGTTTCACTGTGGTGCAGGACCTTAAAAAGCAAGGATTTTTTTGCTGCGCACCTCACCATCAAAGGCTAAATGTCTTTTTCAGTTGCTTGGTTACTGTTTTCCATGCAAAACTATACAGATTTGTGACTTGCTTGTACTTTTCTTGGAGGAAGAGTTTCTGAGCTGAGAGGAATGATGACTGAGTTTGATCTGCTCTTCTTGTGTTCTCACATGTAAGAGTTTTCAGGAGCTGAATGCTGTTATTCACATCACAAATCCGTCTGTGTGACCTGAACTCAACCCTGATCACACACACTCACGCACACACTCTCACACACACACACACACACACACACACACACACACACACACACACACACACACACACACACACACACACCCACACACTCTCACACTCTCACACACACCCCCACACACACACACACTCTCACACACTCTCACACACACACACA